TGTATTTCTTTGGGATTTTATGGGATAGTCCATGTTTTAGGATAGATTTGAAGGTTTTAGTGATAATAATTTGCTGCAAAATAGCTTAAGCTGAGTCAGACTAGATGCAGAGCATCATACAGTTGCTGAGGAAATACAATTCCAAAGCATGATGCTGCCACTGCCATGCTTCCTGTTAGAGAGGATTTTTTTTTAACGTGATATAATCCTCCTCAAATATCCTTTTACAAATATCTGAAAAGTTCTCATTTGGCTTTAGTTCTAGTTTTTTTTTTTTTTTTGGCAAACTGAACACAATAGATCAACAAACAATTGATAGTGGACACAAAAAAATGTTTTCTTGTCAACAGCTTTTCCATTGAGCGGTAGATTTATGCAGCTCTTCTTTTTTTCAGGTTGTAGATAAGAATTTAAAATACTCAGAAATTTGTGGATGTATTTTTAATTTAAAAAACATTTTGGTGCAAATAATTACTGAAGGGCCTGTAGGTTAAAATAAAACTCAGTTGGAACAAAGAAGCTTCCCCATAAAGAAATAAAGAGGAAAAGCATTCTAACCCCTCTGGAGAAATCAAAGACATAAACGGCAGTTTTTAAAGCAGCAAACAACGTGGTGCATAATCGCCGCCGATCAGTGAGGAGTGGTGAAGTGCTTCTCTTGTTCACTTTTCATCCTTTCATGATAAATTCTGTTCATATTTTAATTTGCAGTGAGCAATTATGTTTAGATTTTTTATTTGAAAAGTAAAAGAACAATTTTTATGTCTCTAATTTAGCAAAATAAAAGTCTTGATTTAAAAAAATACTCAAAGAACAGATCCTCAAAAAAAGTGCTGAAACAAAGTTAATGTACTTAGTTAAAAGCTCTGTTTTTGATAGCACTAGGAAATAAAAGACTTATTGTGTCTGAAAATGGAAAAAACAGCAGGAGCGGAGGAGATGGAAAGCTGTGACTGTGATAACAGAAGGTGTCAATAAATAAAGGAAGAGTTATTCATGTGATGGGGTGATGTGAGGGAGACTCTGTGGGTTTTTCCGAGCTGCTCACCTTGGACTTGATAATGGTGCTGTGCATGCCGTTGTCGCTGACCTTGATGGTGATCTGTCTGTCGGAGAGGTCCGGTCTGATGAATGGAGGCTGGATTTTGACGTGGGGTTTCCTCCTGGGGTCCGTCACATACCTGCAGAAAATTGCAACACCACGAAGAACCAGACTCTTCATCATCTTCAGCTTCTCTGAAATGTATTTCTGCATTACATCTTTTTCTCTCACAAAACAAGTTATTTGATTGCAACAGTAATGGAATAAAATTCCCTCCATATCAGTGTGATATTTTTGGGGAGCTTGAATCGATACAGATAAGGTTAAATGATCTCCTTCCGTTATGATAGATTATAAAATCATGATCTGGCAGCCAGATTAAACCCGATCTGAGCTGGCGGTGCATAAAATGCTAACAGTAATGGTTTAACAGACCATACAGATAAGGAGCATATGGCTGTGTTTACCATTTCCAATTCCTCTGTATTTAAATAATATATAATATAAATTTTTATTCAAATAAAGAAAAACCCAATCCAATCCCAGCTGCCTTTGCTTCCATTTAACAGTTTGAGTGAAAGTGGCAGCCATCTGCCTTCCCCCAGGGTGTCGCTGGCGTCTTTTTAAACAGAACTACATGTACAGGATCCCACCACAACCGGCTCAGCCCATGTGCTCATACTGAGTTATCACTGCAGCGATTGGGTGGGGCTGAGTCTGTGCAACAGCATATATACATCATAAGCATTTAATGAGCCACAGAAGGTGCATGCATCCAGATCTATGTGCAGACACAGGCTGCACACAAGTCTCCGAAATGGAGAGAAAAGTTTGTATTATAAAGACACGCATGCGAATGCACGCACACAGTGTAGTATAGCATGTTACCTGGGTGCCAGGGGACTGCATAAGACATACTCCACGTTGCCACAGCAACCCTTGGTGAATGGATTTACTCCCCCACGAAACTTGCCCGTCACCTGAGGAGCAAAATGCGTCACTTAGCACAGAAACAAGGTCAGTCCACACAGGGATACTTGGACAGGCGATGGAGTAAAGGACAGGAGAGAAATGCATTATTCTGACTCAGCTTCTTGTTGGCCATCTTAAAAATATGAACTGTGTGTGGATTATTTTTTATTCCGAATCATTCATCAGCTCCCTCACCTGTTCATTGGTTGTTCGCCCCCGAGCAACAAGCACCATGTGGAAACCAGTGAGACCCAGAACCGGAATGAAGAACAGCCCTGCTATACTCATCACCACCATGCTAGACACACAGGTCAAGGTAAAACATGAAGCACTGCCGGGCATATGCTGGAATTCAGCTTTAGCAGCAGTAAAAGGATACGTGACAGTGGTGTGAAGTCCTCCCAGCTTCTCTCTGTGGTGGAGGACAAAGATGAGCCCAAAGGAGAAAACTCCCACCATGTGAACGCTCAGCGACAACAAGAAGAGGAAGAAGTAACGGTAGTTCCTCCGACCAATGCAGTTGTTCACCCAGGGGCAGTGATGATCAAAGTCCTGAAGAGGAAAGGGAGACAGCAATGGGTCAGCATCAATAAAAAATACCACCGTGTGAATATAAATGTATGATATAAACAATGGCTGCAGCTTTAGAGGAAAGGGCAAAGGTCAAAGTCCAACAAGCAGACCACAGAGCGAACAACGGGAAAAAAACAGATCTCCAAACACGATAAGAAAGAGTTTGAAAAGCAGTTTTACCAAATAGTGGAATTTATGTAAACAGTAATTTAAGAGCTTTAAAAAATATTTAATTATTGTGGCTGTAAGTGAAAATAAACAATATTGATGTTTAGGGCTGCATTAAAGAAAACCACCTGTGTGGATTTATTGATTAAATTGGCTTTACTCACACAGCTGTATGTGAGCGCCCACTGTTGGAGACATTTTGAATAAAAATGAAATATTCGAACTAGAATTGTATTTAATAAAAAAAAAAAAAAATCTATATATACATATACACTACCGTTCAAAAGTTTGGGGTCACATTGAAATGTCCTTATTTTTGAAGGAAAAGCACTGTACTTTTCAATGAAGATAACTTTAAACTACTATTAACTGTAAAGAAGTACACTCTATACATTGCTAATTTGGTAAATGACTATTCTAGTAAACAAGCTACTGCCAGTTGTGGACCTGTGAGGCGTCTGTTTCTCAAACTAGAGACTCTAATGTATTTATCTTCTTGCTCAGTTGTGCAACGTGGCCTCCCACTTCTTTTTCTACTTTGGTTAGAGCCTGTTCGTGCTGTCCTCTGAAGGGAGTAGTACACACCGTTGTAGGAAATCTTCAATTTCTTAGCAATTTCTCACATGGAATAGCCTTCATTTCTAAGAACAAGAATAGACTGTCGAGTTTCAGATAAAAGTTCTCTTTTTCTGGCCATTTTGAGCGTTTAATTGAC